AGTGGTGGGCGATATGATGATATTTTTATTGTTATTGTGATAAATTCTCTTACAATACTCTTTCCTGAGCATCTCGTGGACATCGTCAGTACTTAAAGAATGCCGAACAACTGCATACTTCATTACAAAGTGAGCATAATTAGGCCTGTTTAATTGGATTTAGTGCAGCACAGCTTGTAAAACACTGAATACAAATAATTGTAGTTGTAAGTTTATTTGAATTACTATTATGGCATTTTTATATGTGGCACTACATGTTGTTTTATCTTTTCCAAATGATTGTGTTGTGATGTCATTTTTTTGGCCATATCACCCCCCTCCTCCCCCTGCCCCCGTTAGCCCTTCATCAGTGCTCAGTTTCTGATCATTGAGTCCGAACAGACGGTCACAGCGGTGCACATGATACTGTCATTAACACAGTTCCTGCTCTGAGTACTCGGTTCTGCTTTCACTTCTCACTGTTACATCAGACACAGCAACACTTTCACTCACTCTCTTCCTCTAGATGTCTCTCTATCTCTCTCTCTCTCTCTTTGTCTTTCTCACTTTCTTTTCTCTCTCACTCACACACAGTTTGGCAGAAGAAATGAAACCCATTTCAAAGTTCATCAAAGAGATGAAGGAAAGGAAAGGGAATAGAGACAGACAGAGAAAAAAATAAGATACAGAAAGAGAGGGGGAGAGAGAGAGAGAGAGAGCAGAGACAGAGAGCGAGAGAGAAAGAGATAGAGAAAGACTCAGAGATACAGAGAGAGAGAGTGAGAGTGTGTTTGTGTGTGTGAGAGAGAGAGAGAGTGTGTGTGTGTGTGTGTGTGAGTGAGAGAGAGAGAGAGAGAGAGAGACAGAGAAAGAGATAGAGAAAGGCTCAGAGATACAGAGAGAGAGAGAGTGAGAGTGTGTGTGAGTGTGAGAGAGTGAGAGTGTGTGTGTGTGTGTGTGAGAGAGAGAGAGAGAGAGAGAGTGAGGAGTGAGGAGAACAACGAACAACGCCTGCAGAGCTGAATTAGGCCAATTTCCACTACTGCTCAAAATCCAAAAAAGAACCATTAAATATTGGCTACATCTAAAACACAGTGACCCCCATTCTTATCACTACAAAGCCCTGCAATACCAAGAGCTGAGCAAAGAGAAGAGCCCCTCACACAGCTGGTCCTGACGCTGAGTTCACTACCACACACTAACACTGTTTCCATCACAGGACCAGCCTGTAATTCACACAATCAGACCAAACCACATTATAACACTCCAAAAACAGAACTACATCACCCACTGGAACACAGACACACACAGAGCACAATGCAGTGCTATCTGGCCCTAAACCATCAGTACACTGTAGCGGAGTACCTGAACACAGTGACTGACACTAAACACAGAACCACGCTGACAAAGTACAGACTCAGTGACCACAGCCTGGCCGTGCAGACCGGCCGCTATAAGAGATCCTGGCTGCCTAAAGAGCTGAGACTCTGCCAGCAGTGCAACAGTAACACTGTAGAGACAGAGCTGCACTTCCTCACTGAATGTAGCAAATATAACACACTACAGAACATTTACTTTACTGAACTTGAGAAGATTCACCCCCAATTTAGCCGCCTCAGTAACAATGAGAAGCTGCCCATCCTGCTAGGAGAGAGGAGAGAGAGCAGCGCCTTAGCAGCACGATATGTATCTGCCTGCCACAATATGAGGGACAGTGAGTGACCCACCCAAATACAGCACACACACACACACACACCACACACACACACACACACACACAAACTGCCCTGTTTGCAATTTTCATGCATCTATTTAAATCTCTATTATTTATTTTTATTTATTTATTTATTTATTTTTCCCTCTTAATTTTCTCTACAACTCAATTCCAAACTATTATTTTACAGTTCTTTAATGTGATTCTTTTATAATTATTATTTTTATATCAAATGCAATTAAGAGTTTGTATACTCTGTTCTAAATGTTCTTTTCTTGTTCCTTTTTGACGATGCTTTGGCAATACTGTAGCTGAATATGGTCATGCCAATAAAGCTTATTGAACTGAACTGAGTGTGTGTGAGTGTGAGAGAGTGAGTGTGTGTGTGTGTGTGAGAGAGAGAGAGTTAGAGAGAGAGAGAGAGAGAGAGAGAGAGACAGAGAGAGAGAGTGTCTGTGTGTGAGAGTGTGTGTGTTTGAGAGAGAGAGAGAGATAAAGAGAGAGAGCAGGTGCAGTAGATGGTCGCACATTCCTACACAGTGTGTGTAACACTAAATGTCATGTAACAGAAACACTTTTCTGCATAAACGACAGTTTGTGGCCAGAACTTTGTGTGTGTATGTGTGTGTGTGTGTGTGTGTGTGTGTGTGTGTGTGTGTGTGTGTGTGTGTGTGTCTCTCATGGCCCCCTCTTCCTCTTTCTCCGGCCCCCTCTCTCTGTTTGGTTTCATATAAAACTTCCTGCTCTTCTGGCTGACCTTATTACAGCACATCTGCAGGAAGAGAGAGAGAGAGAGAGAGAGAGAGAGAGAGAGAGAGGGGGAGAGAGAGAGAGATAGGAATAGTAAAGAAGAGAGAGAAAGAGAGAGAAGGACAAAGAGGTCTCATTCCCATGCCTTACTAACTCATTACCACGCATTAGTATCTCTTTCCCATGCCTTACTAAGTCGTGGCCACGCATTAGGATCTCATTCCCACATGTTAATAAGGCGTGGCCATGCATAATTTTATTTATACGGAGTGTCAGCAGCAGGGCTCCTGAGAAATCAATGAAGTTGATGAGGTAAGATTTTAAATAGTTCTTCTTTGTAAGGAGAGAGAGATATAAGGAGAGAGAGAGAGAGAGAGAGAGAGAGAGGGAGAGAGAGGTAGGTAGATAGGGCAGTATGGGTCATTAATCAGGGAGGAGTGGAGTCACCCCTACTCTCTCGCTCTCATTTCTCCCAGTAGGGGGGCTTTCACTCATCGTGCCGTTCTTCCTCTCCTCTTTTCGTCATCCTCGTGCTCCCCGGCTCCCTCGGTGTCTTTTCCTCATGGATAATTTATCACTCTTATTAACGGCGCTGGAGCAGAAACGGGCAGAGCAGTTAGTTACCCTGAACACTCTCCACCTCCCAGCATGCCTGCAGGACGGAACCTCACTCAACATTTCCCCAGAAACACTGAGCAGGGACTCAGCTATGACTCTGCAGATTACACTGGACCATACGCTGGTCACTGGTTCCTCACTGGTCAGGACCAGAGCTTAATGTTTAATTTCCTGACCTGTACGTTCAACATTTTGATCATCTGACAGTTTAGTTTGCTGCTGATGTTCATTATGACAGATAGTTAATTAATGTTAGCAACATGTTGAGATTTTTAAGTCTAGATCGTAAACAGGTTGACGGTCATGTTGATCTTCTGTCCTCTCTTTGCTGCAGGGATCCCAAAACTACCTGTAAACATCAGAGAAATGTAAATGTAAATATTATTTTCACTCAGACTCTTCTTATTGCTGTAAACATCCTTATTTCAATGTTGACAGTTTGTGTGTAGCCGAGATGTTTTACAAATATAGCGCTGTGTAACTTTGACATTGAAATAATAAGCAACATGCAGAAACGTCTGATGATTACCACAGAACGAATTTGGTGAAAACCGGTTGAGCAATAAGCAAATTATGGCTGATTTAATTATGAAAATTCATCGTATGTGTTTTAGTTTAGAAGCAGATCTTGATCGTTCCAAGATGGCGGACACACAGACACATTGCCATAACTGAGAACAACAACCAGTGCAGCATCTATATGTGTTTATCTATGGCCAACATGGTGACATGGTTCTTTCTGACAGGGTTATTTAGCAATTTTGTAGCTAATAGCACTTTAAGTTTGCCAAGTTCTTACAAGATAACAGTGCAACAAACAATTTTGTCCATTGTTGGATCTGGAACAGTTCTGCTACTATTAACTAGCTAAGTTAGGCAAGTTTTTTTCTAGCTAGCTGTGCAACAAACAATTTTGTAGCTAACATCCTGATAGCAAGAGGATAGTGGACCACTGCTGGCCCGCTAATGGCAGAGCTGGTGGTTCACTGGCGTTTTGCTCAGCGTTTTCCGGGCGGCCCACCGGTGGTTAAGCAGAGTACCAGTCAAAATTTCACTTATCACCACTTATTTTCCACTCACAGTCCAATTGACTTACTTTTCCTTCCTTCTTTTATTTAGTGAAACTTTGTAAATTAGTTCAGTAAATCATTTTAATCTAGCTCAGTGCCAGAAACAACATTTTCTATAAATACATTTTATATCAGGCTTAGTCATTATTTTTTCTCTCTCAGGTGCTTGGAATATCTGTTTTAGTTTATTTTCCAAAATAAAAGTCTATGTGTCTTGGACTTAAACTTATCAAGCCAGCGGACCGATATATGCTCGCTGTCTGGGATCATCTTGCTAAGTCAGATAACATTGTACATTGTTGGATCTGTAACAAACACTTTTGCTAGTATGAATTAATTATGTAATAAGTTCTCCAAGATAACAGACAATGTTGCTAATATCAGCTAGCTATGTTAGGCCAGTTTTTCCAAGCCAGCTGTGGAACAAACTATTTTGTAGCTAACACACCTGGGTAACTTGGCCCCTTAAAATCCCAGGCTTAGTACATACTAAGACTTACTATTCAGTAACTACAGGGACCTCAATGCAAACTGACTGAGCTATTCTTAGGTTATAGAAATGTAATAAAACCCATGAGCCCTGGCCATTTAAAGGGTAAATAACATTTTCCTAGTTAGCTATATAACACATATTTTGCTAACATCACCAAGTTAGATAACTAGTTAGCTATGTAACAAACACTTTAGCTGACGTCACTAATCTTAACTTTCTCAGATGTAGTTGTGAAACAATTTATAGCATCACCTGGTTAAGTATAACCTTTTCCTAGCTGGCAAACCAAAAATGACCAAACAAGCTGGGAAAAAACGTGCTCACATCATGTGACTGGACAGGTACACTGGGGATGCTCTCTCTCTCTCTCTCTCTCTCTCTCTCTGGACCGGACAGTCCATCTCTGCGGTGACGTCCTCCCTGTGAGGACAAGGACGGTCCATTATCTGCTGCTCTAGAGGGCAGATCTCATTTCAACACTTTATTAGCTGTAAAGTTGATTTATATAATGAATAACTGTGTTAATTATCAGCGGCTCTTTTAGAAAATTAAGTGTTTCTGTCAGTTTCAGTTCAGCTTTCAGCTTTGATCCCACTGATCCCAGGTGACACTAATGACGCCATCAGACAGGCTATAAAACTGTGTAATCATTATATAGTTTCACTATATATATATTAATATATTATATATTATATATATATATATATATATATATATATATATATATATATAGTTAAGTCCAAACGTCCGAGATCACATTGAAAATCAGTTTTTCAATCTAAATCTGGAGTTTTTGAAACTTTAAAACAAAAAAAAGTCATAAAGAAATATTTAAAATTCTTCATTATTTCTAAGTCACAATTCAAACTGTAACAAATTTGTGACACTGACCGTGCTGAGGCCTTTGTACAGAAAGGTCAGCATTTTTATTATTTTTTTAGAGTTATCCTTTATATTGAAGCTCAGACAATTCTCAGGGGAATTTGATCTACTGATCAGAGGCTTCTGCACAGACTTATGGAGACCATAGCAGCTTTAGTACACACTGTCATTAAAGCAAAGGGGACACGAGAAATTCTCAAATTCATGTAAACATTCAAAGATTGTACTGTTCACTCAAATTGTTATGCTGATAATATCATTTGTAAGAAAAAATAAAAACATTTATAAAAAAAAGCCTAAATAATATATAATAATTTATAAAAATTTATAAATAAAAGCATTTTTTTAGTACATAAACACCGATCAGGCATAACATTATGAGCACCTCCTTGTTTCTACGCTCATTGTCCATTTTATCAGCTCCACTTACTATATAGGTGCACTTTGTAGTTCTACAGTTACAGACTGTAGTCCATCTGTTTCTCTGATACTTCGCCCCCTTTTACCCTGTTCTTCAGTGCTCAGGACCCCCATGGACCCTCACAGAGCAGGTAATATTTGGGTGGTGGATCATTCTCAGCACTGCAGCAACACCGACGTGGTGGTGGTGTGTTAGTGTGTGTTGTGCTGGTCTGAGTGGATCAGACACAGCAGTGCTGCTGGAGTTTTTAGTACCTGCTCTGTGAGGGTTCATGGGGGTCCTGACCACTGAAGAACAGGGTAACATCTCTGTTTTTCATTTTTTGACATAATCTGAAAATGCCTGTTGTCCTTTCCATCGTGTGTAAATTTCACGATGAATGGACGAAAAGAAACGGCCCAAAATGACTTGGAAAGAATTCTGGTTCTATTGACTTACGTTAAAAATAAAATATGTTTTTTGCTTTTCCTGTAAAGTTACCATTTTGGAGATATGAGCTTTTGTTCCAACAACAGCAAATTATGTATTTAATATTACACTGTGTTGATTTTCACAGTGAAAATAAGTTAACAGTAACACATCCCCCACAGGGGGAACCTACACTTAAATATGGCGATTTCTCTGCCAGTTTTAGTGCAAAATTGATGTCTCATTAGTCCACATTTATAGCTTATTTATGATCAGTTTTCTTTGTATTATATCCTAAAGATCACAGTGATGTGGATGGAGCCAGAGGCTGATGCTTGACCAGTCTTTCCTGATAAATATCATCAGTGCGCTGCTGCAGTCCCAGACTGTCCAGCTGTCTGGGCGCGTACAGACCCATAGACAGCAGACATCTGTTTCAGACACACAGTCCCAGGCCGATACCCACCCAACTCCGGCATGCAGGCATGCAAGGTCGTCCACTTGGCCTAAAACTGGCAGGACAGTCGTCTGGAGGGAAAAGAGAAGAAGTGAAGGATAAGTCTGCTCACACATCCTTGAAACTGGCAAACATGTTGCTTTTTAGAGAAACAGAACTGCCAGAAATGAAACCAAAGCAGTTTCTCTTGACACAAAATGTAGACAATCAGCCAAGAAATGTTTGCTGTCTGTGTTTCTTTAGTTTTGGACTGGAGCTATGAGGCTAATGTAGCTAACAGGTGCCAGAAACGAAACACCTCACAAATTAGCGTCATACAAACTACATGCCTAAATCATGAAACCACATAAGCAAGTGTATTTGAGATTATTTAACAACTCAATGCTCTTTAAATATGATCTAACCTTTATAGATGACTGAACCGTTACCAGCAGACGTCTGTCGAAGCATCCACTTCCGTTTTTGAATGCATCATTTCTATATAGGAAATCAACCCATATGATGACGCAATATAGGATTAGAAAGCTTGGAATGTCAGGATTTGATCCCTCCAACTATTTTATGATCCTTTATTCGCAGCAGTAACATTTGTCTCATGTGCAACATAAGTAGCAAATCTGTGGCAAGAGTCAGAGATCAGTTTAGAGATCTGTCAGTCAGACGGAAATAAACTACTTCATTCCAGCCTCTGTTACTCTGTGTCAGTAATTCATACAATTATTCTGATCGGTGGAAATAAACTTGAGTGTGTTACCTTTCAAATGAGACTAAGATCATGACTGTAGCCCAAAGTATGTCTTTCACCTGCTAGTCAGCACTTGGACAATGTATTTCTGCTCATGTGGTTGTATGCTCATAATGAAAATGCATTGCATTTACCAGAGACATCTCTGGCACAGAAAGCCTGGTGGGGCACAAAAAACTGTAGGGGCAGCAGCGACTCGTTCGTCAACGAAACTACACACAAACCTGTTCCAAACACAAACGCACTCCATCAATGAAGTCACATATTCACAAATTAACGTCACGTGGTGCAGGAAGTGGAGACAGGAATATGAGTGATATGATACCGGATTAGATCTCACAAAACCTGGTTAAACAGCATCACATTACAAATCCAAAGTTATCTAGCAGTAAACGATCATTTCGTCTGCAACTACATATCCAAAGCAACATAACAGAGCAGGGAAACACACTTTCTGGGCATTAGGAATAACACGGCAACAACGCACAATGACTCACCAGTGACGTCACTGCTCGAAAAGACAAGATGGTCGACGATCTTTCATCTGGGCAAACTTGCCAAAAACTTTCTTTCAAAGTCCCCCAATCCATGAATGAATTCAAGTGATAGCATAGCAAGGGCAGACAAGGAAAGCAAAAGAGTGTTTTTAGCTACACTCACAGTTAGCCATGTTTTTCTCTTGAACCTCTCTGGATTGAAGCAGCAGTGTTTGTCCTTTCAAGACTGAATGATATTGAAATCCTCTGGCTGGTGTGTCCCAAACGTCTAATCTCTAATTTCTGCTCTAATGGCTGGAACCAAATTGAACTTTTATTACATTTTCGACTTGACTTATTATTGCCTCGCTATTATGAGTGGCTACCACACCTGGTGAGGAACTATGGCTTGCTGCGTAGCAACGACCAGACTGTAAACGACGCTTACTAAACGTCTGGATGTATGTAAATGTATTATTTTTTATTGGCTGCTCTCAGCATGGAGCCAACGTGATCGGGCCCCACAGCTGGTTATTGAAAGCGTGTTGAACATGCACAGTGCTTTTAACGGCTCACCTGGTTAGACGAGCGCCGACGGGCCCCGTGCTCGCCAAACGAAGACTGCTAGGAGGAATAGTTAGCCTACTGGTATTTTCACAACAAGTAAAGGCAGATATTTCAAATGTTTTGGATAATGCTACCAATATCATATGTAAAAAAATGCGCAACAATATTAGTTAAGAAGAAAATACATATATTAGTTGATATACGGAATTATTAATTATTATGTTGTGCACTGCTCCACTCTGGTGGGGCCAGGCCCAACCGGCCCCTAATGTAGAGATGCACCTGGCATTTATGCTTGTGTTAAATGCATTCAAGATCCGTCTCTAAACACCTCAGAATGTAGTTTGAATGATCTGATCGTAATCCACTCACAGTGCTTCCTGGGGTGTCTACACTTGGCTTTTCATGCAGTCAAGTGAAATTTGAATGTGATCTAAAAAAAACAAATTGCCAAAAACGCATGTTAATGCAAGGTTAAACAGGCCCTGTCCAAACGGCACTTCTAATTAGTGAATTCTGCACCCATTGTAGAACCAGACTTTCGGTTTTGCATACAAAACTTGTATAATCTCCACAGAAAAGCATTCACCATGCCCAATGCCAAGCATCGGCTAGAGGGGTATAAAGCCCCCCAAGCATTGGGCTGTGGAACAGTGGACATGTGTTCTCTGGAGTGATGGAGCTCCATCCAAAAACTTTGGCAGAATATGGAGTGATCTTAATCATCCAGCATCAGTACCTGACCTCATTAATGCTCTTGCAGCTGAATTCAATCATATACTCACAGCAATGTTCCACCATCTGGTGTAAAGCCTTCCCAGAGCAGTAGAGGCTGTTAACTGCAGGAAAGGTCTATTAATACCCTTGATTTCAGAAGAAGCGCTGGAAGAGCAGGTGTCCACAAACTATTGGACACGCAGTTTCTTGTTAACTCCAGTGCAAAACTTGGCTTGTATAAATTAGATTTTTTTTTACCAAACTATTGCTTTAAAAGGCCTGGGGCCATGTGTCAGTCACCCTTAGTGTGAGGCCCGGAGCCGGCCCTAGGTTTCACACAAATAGAACAACAAACAAGGCACACAGGAAGTTTCATAATATTTATTTATTTGTTTATTTACAGACTCGTTTATTTAAACTTTAAGGACTTTCCATTTCTCTTGAAACAGCAGGATCAGCTTGTGGGGACAGGCAGGATAAAGTCCAATGACAGTGCAAGAAGAATGGTGTCTGTATAAAAATAAATAAGAAAAATTGTCCTCGCAAAGAATCTCGTGGCTTGGAGATGCTGGTAATATTTTATAATGGGGTAAGTTTATGAAAAAGTTTATTAATGGAAGTGCACACAACTTAGGTTCTGTTGATGTACAGTATCAGTCACCTACACCTACTTTACTTTTACTGTTTCCATCTTCACATCTGTCTCTGGTCCACCATTCCTGACCACTCAGTTGTTTTTTGTCAGGGTGGTATGGCTTTATATAATTTACATTGAGTGTTTACATGCACCCAATAATCCGATCATAATCGGATTTCTGCAGTTATCTGATTATCCAAATGGTCATTTAAACAGCCCATTCAGATTTCTTAGATCGAAGTAAGGTCCAGAAATTTGATTAAGAAATCTGATAAAGAGAGCTGGATTTTAGCTCAGTAATCAGATTTCTCAGTGCATGTGAACTCTTACTCTGATTTCTTTCGGATTTCTCAGTCTGTACATGTGCGAAAACAGACAAGACGCAGCAAAACACTTTTGGAGCGACACTGAAACCGACTACATGCTTAACGAAACTAAGGATTTAAATATTCTTCATTCTTCATCTTCTCGATGATGTATGTTCATATTTTCAGATAAAGTGTTGCGATGTTTAAAAAATAGCCACAGCATGAAGTTTTACATCACGTCTTCTTCTGTGAGTTTACTGGCTGGTTGCAAAGCAGAAATCCGATTGCTGTCTGACTCATGAAGACCCGGAGTTTCTCCATTATTTGATTACCCAAGTGCATGTGAACGCATTGATCATATTACTGACGAAATCAGATTTTCTGCAGTTATTGTATTTTTAAGCGTGTGTAAACGCACTTGTTGCTACTCAGCTACTCCTGGAGCTTTAAAGTCAACCTGACCATTTTTTAACTTAGTTTCACTTCAACCTCCCACCACTGCCACCTACCGCTGAGAGAACACGCTTAGCTAGTTCACTGTATGTGGTAAAACAAGGGTCTTCAGTTCTGATACACTGTTAAAAATAAAAGTCCGCTCAATGTAAAATAAAGTAACTGATTACACAGCTTTTCTAGAGTTAAACTCAACTTGAGGACGATAGAGTTGACCCAACTCAAACTTCTTAGTTTCGTTCTTCTAACTCTCGTTTTTAGTTCTGCATCTGAGTTAAATATTTTTACACTTACATGGAACTCATTCCATCCACAATCCCCGCCATTTTCTGCTCTTGGGTGTTCACTTACGGATGGCTGTGGCATCGCTACGGTTTAAACTCACAATCTAAGCTAATTGGCTGAAATGTTTACATTTCACAGCAATATAATTAATAAAAAATTAAGCAATCAGTTTGCTTAGACATGTAGTTGTCAACCACTGGGTTAAAACAAACATAGAGGTCTAGAGGCAGCAGGGCAAGCTGATACTGATGCCGTGAAATCCCTGATTAAATTTAGGCCGATCTGTCCCTGTGACAGCTCTGAGAATAACCCTGGCTGTGTTTCAAACAGCTCTTGGCTCAGTGGTGAAGCGCCAAGACGTACCACTGTGCTTCACAAGTCCTTCTGCTGTACAGGTCAGATTCGGGCGTATCTGTTGATATTCATCCAGTGGGTGGAGGGGAACTGAGGGATGGAACTGGCAGCTGGTGCAAACTGAGCCATGAATAATATTTTTATTGTATGCATCACAGAAATACATGCACTGCTTCTCTCTTCCCTTTTCATTCCTTTTTTCTTCTCTTTTCTCTCACATACACCACATTCCCGCACGATACACTTGCGTACAAGGCGATCTGCTAATGCCAAAACACTGTTTACCTGCAATGGCCTATTAACTCGACTCCTCTTCTCCTTTTTTCCTTCCTCTCCCCTCCCATCCTCCCGCTCCTCTGTCTGCCTGTCTGTCACAGCAGCGGCAGTGAGGTGTGTGGAGAGCTTAAAGACCCAAGAGACCTAGCTGTCCAAAAAGCCCTCGTGGAATCTCGAAGAAATGGCAACAGCCTGGCCAACTGCCAACCTGCTAATACAGCCTGCATTCACTCTGAATGGCTTTAAAGCAGTAATATTTACACAGTTTTCCTCTTAGCCCTGTCCAAACTTTGCTTCTTTAGTTTTGCGCTGGAAGCTAATGTGGCTAACCAGTAATGGAAGCTCATACCACAGCAGTTAGCATCATGCTAACTTCACACTTCAATCACTTGCCTCAAAAAACAACACTGATTAATCCCAAATAGACTTGTTTATGTGGTTTCTGACACTGTATGATGTACTGTTATATATAAAAAAATAAAATAATAATATAAGTACATCACAACTACAGTAGTGGCAGCTAACATCAACTGACTGTGGCAAAACTTCAGTGTTAGCAAGCAATACATGTTAGCCTATTAGTATATAAGGGTGTTTTACATAAACTTGCAAAAATAGAACCATTTATGTGCATAAAAGTTGAAACTAACTTGAAGTGTGTTGTGGATTTATGATAGAGATTTCAAACACAGCTGCCATGCAATAAAAATTTCTATCACAACCTGGTACATTTTTCTTGTTATTTGTCTTTAAAGTAATTACAGTTGTGTAATACGTGCCTAATGCTGCTTTCAAGTAGTCTTGGAAAAATGAGTTTCCCACTAGGGGGCACTGCATGAACCCCCTTCAAAATCAAATGATAAAGTACATTGAAATTTTCAATGTGACACAAACTGGCCAAGTTGTGAGTTCCGCATCAATCAAATATCTAACTAGCTAACTATTGTTGGCTCCTAGAACATTCTGGGAATGTTTGGTTTTGGTTTCCCATACGTTCTAAGAACAAGTCTTTGGTTTTCCAAGGCCTGTATTTGGAAAACTTCTCAGAGTAGGAGCGCTGATCATGGATCAAATACTTATTTGATTTATTAAGATTTTAAAGGGAGGATCAGATCCTAGATTAGCACTACTGGGCAAGTTTTATTTATGGAAAATAGAATGGTTGCTTTTTGTTTATGTTTCAGAGAATGTTCTCCATTCCGATAACCATTAAATTATTGAAAGCTTTAGGAAACCTTGTAGTAATGTTCCAGGATGTTCCCTTACCCTTTAAAATGTCCTTGTGAAACCCCAGCAATTGCGTCGTGAAGACTTTTTTTAAACTAAGCAAATTATTTTTTTACATAGTCAACCTTTTTAAATTAAAGCACAAACTTTGTTTCTAGCGCTTCCCATTTGTGAACAATTCAGAGATAATTCAGACTTATCCAATAGGCTGGGTTAACTGTAACAGACTGAGGGGCTCGTTGTAACTGTTTAGTCGCTAGAAAGGTGAAGTGCACTGACTCAAACTCAATTAATTCAATATAGTTCTGTATGGTTTGAACAGGGTCAATGGACAATGGCCAGACTGGTTTGAGCTGACAGACAGGCAACACTAACTCAGATAACCACCCTGTACCATTGTGGTGAACAAAAAAGCATCTCAGAATGCACAACATGTTGAACCTTGAGGTGGATGGGCTACAACAGCAGAAGACCTCGTCGGGTTCCACTTCCGTCAGCCAAGAACAGAAAGCAGAGGCTGCAGTGGACACAGGCTCTCAAAAATTGGACAGCTGAAGAGTAGAAAAACATAGCCTGGTCTCATGAATCTGCAGATGATTTCTGCAGAGGCGCACAGATGATAGGGTCAGAATTTGTCACCAACAGCGTGAATATATGGACCCAAACTGCATTGTGCCAGCAGTCCAGGCAGGTGGAGGTGGCGTAATGGTGTGGGGAGTGTTGGCCGGTTAATACCAGTCAGTCATCACTTGGATGCCAGAGCCTATTTGAGTATCGATGCTGACCAAGTGTGTCCCTTCATGGCCACAATTTACCCATCTTTTAATGGCTTCTTCCAGCATGATATTAGATCTGAATCCAATAGAACACCTTTGGGATGTGGTAGAACAGGAGATGCGTAGCATGAAAGAGCACCTGATGCAGTCATGTCAACATGGACCAGAATCTCAAAGGAATGTTGCCAACATTTTGTGGACTCCGTGCTATTAAGAACTGTAGCTGTTTTGAGAGCAAAGGGAGACCCTACCCAGTATTAGTACAGTGTTCCAAATCAAGTGCTTGTATAGTACATTTTTGATGAATCTACAAATAAGTTGTTTACATGCTTGATGATGGTCTTTTATCACAGCTATCTGGAGGACAATTTAAATAATACAGGTGTCAGTTATGTGTATGACACTTTCATGGTACATAAACAGTCTTTGTGGTGAATCTTCAGAAATTTCTGTCTTCTTGCAGTGAAAATTCTCGAATGATGATGCTAAGGGAATTCAAGAAAGCGACCAAAAGCACTTCTACTTGAATCTGTTCAACGACACAAAAAGGTGTGTTACACTTCATAATGTATTAGGTTGTGCCCTGCATTCACACTTTTGAACGTGGCTTTTCTGGGTCCTAAACTTCTCCAATAACACTTCATTTGTTCGCTCATACATTGGTGAACCAGGAAATTCACAGGCCAAGACATGCTGGTCGACAAATATCTGTCTGAGTTGGAGACTCATCGTCCATACTGTGCAACCACAGCCATCTTGATACTTAAGAACAAAATGCTGATGGTTGGTTTCAGGGATGTTGTGGTTTCCTTTGCTCCCTCAGTGAGGTCAGCTGGAGCTTTCAGAAATCCAGCACTGGGAGTGGCAGAGAGGCCGTAACCACTACCATCATCATCTTCATCATTATCATCATTTTCAGACTGTGGGTGAGTGTTATAAAACAGCAGTCTGAAGTTCTTCTATCATCTTCTTCTGGCAGCCAGAGAGAAATAACTTTCACAGTGGTACTTCCAGCATCTATCAGCATAGACGTTTCTTGGGCTATTCATCTCTCTGCAGGCCTTTAGTCTGAAATAAAATGGTAACGCTTCAAAGTGAGAGGTGTGAGCAACAGGCCAGATGCTGAACCAACACAACAGAATGAAATTACACCCGAAAAAAGGAAACTAAATGTCAAGGGCTGGAAATGGAACTGAGGAAGAAGTTAGCAAGAAGTGAAAGTATCGCCCTTTGCACAAACCCATCAAAATGGTACTAAAATGGGGAATTACGCAGATTTAAAAAAAAATCTTTGAGATATAAACCAGGTCAGTCAGAAATGGTTAATTGTAGAGAACCTTACTCAGATTTCTTTACAGTAGTGGTGATAGGAACCAGGAGTCGCAATGTCTAAAACACAAATATAACCATTTCATTTATTACCCAAAGGCACCAGAGGCCAGGCAAAGCAAGTTGGAGTCAGAAAATACAGAGTCATTTAAAAACAAGTAAATACAAATATAAAATCATCATTTAAAACATTAAAAACATGATTAAAACATGATTAAAACAATGAATCATTAAAAAGTGCCATTATAGAAGAAAAGGGCCTAGAAACGCTTACAATGTTTTAAACTGAGCTAAAAGCTGCTCAGATAGGAGTGTTTTCAGCCTGGATTTAAAGTGTCCAGTGTCGGGGCTCTTCTAATGCTCTCTGTCAACTGGGTATTTAAGAGCAGCAAAGTAGCTAAACGCTGCTTCTCCATGATTAGTCTTCACCTTTGGCAGGACTAACTGACCAGTTCCTAATGATCTAAGAGTTTTGCTCGGCTCATATCGCTCCAGCAGATCAGATAAATATGCCGCTCCTGCACCACTGAGCGATTTATAGACCTGTAATAGTACCTTGAAGTCTATTCTGTGACTTACTGGTAGCCAGTGTAAGGATTTAATAATGAGGGGTGATGTGTTGCCTTCTTTTACTTCTAGTGAGGCTCTGGCAGCTGCATTCTGAAGCTCTTTTTGGAGTCCAGCTAGGAGACCATTACAGTGATCAATCCTGCTAGAAATAAAGGCGTGGATTAGATTCTCCAGGTCTGCTTTGTCAGAAAAGCTCTGATCATGTTGATGTTTGACATGACTGCTAAAACTAAGATCAGAGTCCATTAGTACACCAAGGTTATGTACTAGTTCTTTAGATTTTAGGGCTCTTGAATCCAGATAGACAGCTAATCTTTGCCTTTCATTGCTATTCTTGTATAAAATAATCTCTGTTTTATGTTTATTTAACTGTGTAAAGTTTTGTTGGATGGAACATGTAGAACCTACACGTGTCTTTTATATGGAATTTTAATAGTAAAATAGTGATTAATCTAAAAGAAATATTTATTGTCTGTACTGCTTTTGCCTTATGGTGCCCTGCATGGATCCCTCCACTGTGAATGTGTTTTAAAAATATGATGAAGGCCGAAACCTTCTCAAAACTATAATATATAATATATACTGTAATAGCTTTCTGTGAGGTAGCTTCATTAAACTCGTTAGACGTCCGGTTCCTATCAACACCACTGTAAACAATTCTAACTCAGTAAGTTTCTCCACCAAACCACTCTGAATGACTTTGTTTACACCTTAATTATTTAATTATGAAGAAAGTTTGCTGGTATTCTTTGTTAAGTGCATGAAACTGAGAAAACTAATGTGTTGCGCCTAACAGTGTGTCTTAATCGTCTGTGCTGCAGGTCATGATCTTAACCCTCTACTGCACCCATTAGGAAAGAATCTTTTTTTAATGCATTAATGCATTTCTTGCATAAATGGACCTGATTTTTAAATTCAAAAAACAAAAAAAATGTATCCAAGGGTTCTTTTGGTGTATGTTGCCTTGAGGCAACATTGTGCGACTATGAGAAGAAATTATATAATGTCATGTGCTTGTAACATCCATTCCTCTGTCACACAATGTTGCTTCTAGGCAACAAACATATTTCTGCAAATTCTCATAACGAAAAAAAAAAACCTGAATGTTAAAAAGAGGTTTAAAAGTGCCAAAAAGACAGTATAGCCAAATACATGCTATTTATTAATTTA